ATAGAAGTAGATTTAAACTTAGTATATTATAAACGTTTGTTAATTTTCTCTTAAGCTAACGCCTTAAATAAGTTTTAAGCTATAGAGATTAAACCTATAGATAAACATAAGATAGTATTTATAGAACTAAACAGTATGTATTAATATAATAATATGCTCTAAGAGTTAATAAGATCCCTAGCTACTTATACTAAGTTTAAAGATATAGCATTTAGATACTTATTCTTTAAAGACAGAATAAAGATAGAGTCTATACTAAAATATATAAAAGATATTTATACTTTATTTTCTATCTATATAGATAACTATTATTTAGAATCTAAGAATTAGAAGAATTATTTTAATTTCCTATAGAAAAAATACCTTCTAAGAGTAGTATAAGCACTAATTAGTCTTAGCAGATAAAAGACAAAACTCTTTTTGTTAAGCGTAAACTATATTAGTTACTTTCTGAAAGATAGGAAAATTAGGCCTGCTTATAAATATAGAGAATATTTTGCTTTACTAGCAGAACATTTTAGTTAAAGACTACTAAAATTATAAAATAAGATTTTAGTTCTTATTTACTTAATACTATTTCTAAGAAAGTTTATATTAAGCTAGGCAGACTTAGTTTTAGCAATTAAGAGAGTGTTTTTCTATAAAGTGCTAAAGACTATAAAACTAGAAAGAGAATTAATATAATATTAAGAGGTCCCTTAGAATAACTTAATATAAATGCTAGAGGCTTAGGCTGTACTTCTAAAAATTTGCAATAGTATTTAGATAAATATAATATTTAGAGCGCAACTTAGAATATAATTCTATATAGCAACTAATGCTTTTAATATAAAGATAGAAGAAGTTTTATTTTAATTAAAAGATATAGAACTTAGTATACTAGTTATAAACGCTAACTTTTTAAGAGTTAGAATTATTATATAGATATCTTATAAGTTAACTAATATAGAGAAGAGATATACTATGCCTAAGAAGAAGATATATATAATTATAGTAGAATTAAAAGAGATATAATAGCTAGTAGAGAGATTACTATTCGCCTTAAAAGTATATACTAACTATAAAGGCATTATTAACTCTATAGCTAACTTTATAGAAGTATATAGAAAGGTAGCACAATAAATTAATATTTTATAGAAGTTAAATATAAAGTATATTTATTATACTCATACTACTAAGATTATAAAAATTGTAGATAGAATATTAAGAATGCTAAACAACCTAAAGTTAGAACCTCTCTTAGTAAAAAGAAGAATAGAAGTAAAAGTTACTCTAGCTATAATAGAATATTTAGTATAGGTTTTAATAAATATTAAGAATAATAGAAAGCAGAGACTACTAGAAGGAAATCTAATAGATAAATAGATACTACTAGAGGGAAGCCTATAGAACTAGAATATAATATAGAAACTAGCAGATAAGCTTAAGAAGTAGTTTAAATTCTAATAGTATAGAGAGGTGCTTACAGCTATAATTTATAAATACTAAGCTATACTAGCAGAATAATAAAAACTTATTAAACGCTATTTATTAAAGTATAAAGTTTTCTGCTAAATACTTTATTATTTAGAATAGAATAAATCCTTAGCAGAATATATTCTAGTAGAGAACATACTATTAAAAATGCAAAAGGTTTATAATGCGTCTAGCTATTTTAGACTAGAAATTACTATATAGAAACTATAAGGTAGATTCTTCTAGCTAGACTAAATAAGAGATATAAAAGTATATTATTTATTATGTCTAGTGTATTAATAGATAGAGAGACGTCTGCTAAGAGCAGATCTAAAAACAATTACTATCTTAGAACTATAAGCTCTAGTAGCTATAAATTATTTAGAACTAATTACTTTAGTAGCTTAAAATAAAGACACTTATATACTAGTAATTATTAACTATATAACTTAGTTTATTATAGCTTAATTCTATTATAAGGCAACTAGAAATATAGTTATAGAAACTTAGAATAAATATTAAGGTTTAATTATAGAATAGCTAAAGAAGATTTATTGTAATAATAAATTCTATTTTAAGAACTTAAACTTTAAAGCAATAATATAGAAGTATAAAATAAGAATTATATTTAGCTTAATCTTCTACTTATTAACTATAGAATTAGCAGAATATAATATATAACTTATTAAAAACTAACTAATAAAATAAGTAATAAAGAGAGATAGAGACTTATTAAATATATAGAATTAGATAATTCTAATAGTAGTAGTAAACCTTAATAATAAATATATATTAACTATTAGGACTAGCTTAGTAATAGCAATATTAGGATTTAAACTATACTTATAATACAAGAACATAAAAGATAAAGTTGTTAAGAACTAGATAGACTATATTAAGAAGTTAAAATAAGAAATAAATTTAATATAGATTAATTCTTAGAAGGAAAGAAGAGAATAAGTTCGCACCTAAAAAACAGAGGCTATAAATAATAAAATTCTATAAAAAACTTCTTAGACATTTTACATAAAAGACATTATTTAGGAAAAACTAGACAAAGAAAACAAGCTTAAAGAGAAATTCTAAAGAACATAGAGAAACCTTTTAAAGGTCATTAAAGTAGTATTATTAGTATTATATAAAATTAAATCTATAGAAGAAGAAACAACACAAAAAGTCTATATTAATAACCTAAAGCAGTTTATTCCCTAATAGAAAAGACTAAAACTACCTAGACTTAATTATTAAGATATAGCTAATTAGAATTTAAAGCTATTAGAAGTTAATAATAGTAGTAGTAGTAATAATAATAATAGAAATAGTAATAGTTAAGGAAAATTAGTGTTAGGGTTAACACTAGTTTCCCTCCCCCCTAAATTGTTAGGGGGAAAAGTAGGACAAGTTATATAACCTAGGAAAATAAGGGGCATAATTATAGAGTGGACTTAATCATAAAAACTTAGAGAAGACAAGCATTAATACACCTAATGCCCACTAACTAGCATTACAGGGCCAAGGCGTGCGTGCGTTGTGGATTGGGCGAGACTCCACCACAGGCGGTGGATTACGATTCACGGGAGGTTGATCGACGCCGGCAGAGTTGAGGCTAACGGCGAGAATCAAAAGCCACCGACTCTCGAGAGGGCCACATGGACCTGAAGCCGGGGAGATGGGGTCGAGCCTTGGCCAAAATGGCCACCATGTCGTTGTTGGTCCAGAGCATGTACGGAGCCGTCAGTCGTTAACGCTGAGTACTAGCAGACGTCTGAGCTCGGGGCCGTGGAACGTGACTGCGGCGACGCCGACGCCTTTGTCTGTAATGACCGAGTGCCTTCATGTTCAAACTTTCTGTCTGTGATGTTTGCCACTTGTCTTTTCATTGGTTTCCAGCGTAAGCCCTAGTCCGACCACCGCGCTGATGAGGGCAGCTCCCCGAGTCCAAGAAAAAACGTGGTGCACGTGGACGGTGGGACAGGAGAAGGAGCAGCCTGGGATCTGCAAATCATCCGTTTGGAGAAAGAGTCCTCGGGCAACTCTGTCGTTGCGCTGCAAAACTGATAACCAGTGCTGGTTAATTCGAATGAATTGAAATCACAGCATGGCTGATGCAAAGGCTGCACAAAGAAAACGACCCCAAGGACGAGGCCACATCCAATGCACGAGGCGCGCCCTGTCGCCGGGCGGCATTTGATGCGGACGAAAGAAAGCAAGACCAGCGACGAACACCGGCCGTTCCTTCCCCCACACTTTCGTGGCCTCGCGAGAGGAAGGTGCGCAAGTCACCTGCTGGTCAATGCTGCAGCATACTTAAGTAGGTTAGAGGCTGCCGCTCGTCACCACCACATCAACATCAACCCACATCTTTCAATGTTCAAATCCTTGGTGCCGTCGACCAGTGGATCGTCTCCATTACAGTTACGGAGTAGTTAGCACGTATCTCGCCTTCCGGTTCAAGGCTCTGCTCATGTTTCTCCTCTATTCATCCACTCACACCGACCGCCAGCTTTTTTAGGTCCGACTCGCTCTCACGTCAACCTGGTGTCTCCTTGTCGACTTCGCAACGCTGCTTAAGTGGCAGAAGACTGGAAGACGTCCCCAGCGACCGAGACCGACAGACCGAACGGAACAGATCAATCCCGACTTCTAGTGTTTATTTTTGAACCGCAACTTGCCCCAGGAATGCGCTGCGGCCCACCAGCAGCATTGAACCATCCCTGTGGGCCGTAACAAGAGGTTGCATGGCACACGGATCCTGAGCTGACTCGGATTGTCTGGGCTGAACTAAACCTGACTGGCTGCCGGCATCCTGGCGGCATGGGATTGTTTTTGCCATTTATTAGGAGGACAGAAGCCATCAATCATCACACACACACACACGCCTCTAGTTTTTCTCGTCCTTTTTTTCTCTTTCTTTCTGTTTACCTTTATATTCTGTCTTTGTCGCCGCCTGTGTCGGTTTGCGACGCAAGCGTCGTGAAGAAGATCTGCCGTCCGACCTTGGCACCAGTACTTCTCGTACTCATACCGCAAGCATCCACCCGTTCTTTCCAAGTTCCAGGGTCGCGCTTGTCACGCCAACCGGCTCCCACTCCGACTCCTGCGTCCCTGGCGACTGGAGCTCAGAATCGACGCTTAAGCGACTTCCCAAGTCCTCCACTACTTGACGCTACAGAAACCATCTCAACTCCGTCCCCGAAGACATATTTTTCCTGAGCCACACTCGCTCACTTTGAACCGTATGCAGTTCCCCCTAGCCAGAACTCATGGAGCCCGTTCCTGAGACGGAGCGTATGGAGGCATTCAAGTCCTCACCTGCGCCCTCCCTTCGTCTTGGCAGCAACCCGAACGCTATTCCGCCGTTGGACCTGGATCTGGTCAGGAAACCACCCACTATACGTCGGAGTACCGATCCGAATCCAACGTCACCAATATCACCATCATGGAGCCCGCCACCTTCTGTGGCATTGCCATACAGACCACGGACTGCATCCCCTCTGTCGGGGGGCCATTCACGCTCGCGGTCCGCTGCTAGCCTCGCCTCCCCCATGTCACGAACTCAGTCTATGCCCGGAGTCAGCGGCTCAGGCCGCATTTTGTACTCGCCCGGATTACGACCCGCTAGTCCTTGCCACTCTGGCTCTCCCAGCCGCATTCGAACGCCGAGAAAGCCTGTCGATGAAGCCTTCCCCGCGATTTCCCCGGCCCGGACGAGTGTTCTCGAACAAGATAAGAAGCAACCCGACCGAAGCAGATCACCGGTTCTTGGAGGAGCGGCGATTGTGTCATCGAGCCGACTCAGGAGATCCTCATCTCCTTTCCGAAGTGTGCCACCATCAACCTCCAGCGCGCTCTGTTTGTTACCGTCGACGCCGTCGTCTGTTTCGTCAGCTTCCTCGTTACGAGGTTATGATGTCCTGTCGGGCAGTTATGGTGGTAGTTTGTCTTCCATCCCGTCCACACCGACGTCAGCTCGATCACGCAGCCCCAGCATCTCGAGTTTGGAAACTATCCCCGACTCTCCAGATGCAGAAGAGGCCGCCTTAGAAGCTGAGAGATTGGCTCAACTCAGGGCTGCCGCAGAAGCAGCGGATGCTGGCGACTCCTCCGATTACAAAGGCCGACCGCTTGTGGACGCACCTCCGAGAGGTAGAACCCTTAGCTATGGACCAAGGGACAAGCGTAAGCGATGGAGTGTTTGCGGAGCTGAACGACGGGGTGACTTGGACTTGGAGACAATATGGGAGGACTGATGACACGGGAAAAAAATAACCGTGAATGGCGCTACGGCGTTGCATGATACACTTGACATTACGTTCTCGCATGGCCCGCTATGAATTTCTTTATGAGCAGCAGATGTGGATTTTTTTTGGTGATGGACCGTGCAGGTTTGACTGTTTTGGCGTCGTCATGTTTCTCTGGACTTGGCTGTCCCCGACTTTTGGTGAGGCAGCGTTTGGAAGGCTTCGTGTGTCACCGTGTCATGATACCCTTTTGTATTTACGCGATTGCATGGTGTCTGGCGGAGGAAGATGGGAAGGGACTCATGATGTATGTAAAATATGCGAGAAGGAAAGTTCTCGCAAGTGTTTCTATGAGGCTATAGTCGTGCATTACGGCGCGTAGACGTCGATATTCAGCTGGAGCAGCCTCTTTGGTTGGTCCGGGGCCGCAGAACCCTTTGGAACCAGAAGAACATCGAGTTTATTGAGCCAAATCGCCAGGGGGACAGATTCTCATGACGATGCTGAGCCAGGCCCGCCAGACAACTGTCGTCGACGGAGTGTGCGGACGTGGTCCGGTTCCAGCCGTGTGCAACATGTCAGCAGCGCTGCTGTTGCCGAAGGCGAAGCACAGGCGTCGTACGCGCGCACGAGGGTGCGATGAATGCGCCGGCCGACATGCTCGATTGCTCGTGGCCGTCGCGATCCAAGACAAGGAGGGAAGGGAGGGCATCTCCGACGCCGCCGGACAGCAGTGCAGTGCAGGCAGACGCTCGAGCAAGCAAGCAGGCAAGGCGCCCACGAATCCCAGCCCGACAATGGTAACCGCAACGGAGAGGACGAGAAGACGAGAGGACGAGAGGACGAAATGACGAGACAAATTGAAACGAGAACAGCAGCAGCAGCAGCAGCAGCAGCAACAAGGCTCACATGCCGAGCTTCTCGGGCCCAAAAGACATGGGCAGCAGCTAGACGGACGAACGGACGGACGGCACGTCAGCACGCTTCGCCGACGCCACACCACGGTCCAGACCAGGAAGAAAGAAACCAAGACGTACCTCCTGCAGCGTGAGGACGACAAAGCCGCCGTCCCCGCCAAACATGATGACGGGCACGTGCGGGTCGCAGAACTCGCGGATGCTACGCCCGTCAGCGGCCGGACCGAGGGAGCGAGGGACGAGGGACCGAGCGGAAGGGAAAGGAAACGGAACCAGGAGACAGGAGACAGGAGACAGGAGACAGGAGACAGGAGACAGGGACACCCACAACTGCCTGCACATGCCGCACGGGCTCGCGGGCGGCGACGCGTCCGAGGCGACGGCGACGGCCCTAAAGGCGCGCGGGCGCCCGCCCGGGGCGGTGACGGCCTTTGCGAGGGCGACGCGCTCGGCGCACGTGCCCACGGGGTAGGAGGCGTTCTCGACGTTGGCGCCCGTGGTGACGGCGCCGTCGTCGGCGAGGAGCGCGGCGCCCACGCGGAACCTGCTGTAGGGGCAGTAGGCGGAGGCCTTGGCGGCGGTGGCCTCGTCGCGCAGCGCGGCGAACTGCGCGGGCGTGAGGGCGTGGGCTTTGCACGCCGCGGCGACGGAGGCCGGGTCGGAGTCGGAGCCGGTCGGCGGCGGGGAGGCCTGCATGGCGGGCGGGCGGGCTCTTCGGTTCTTGCCTGGTTCTTGTGTTCTTGTTTGCGCGGAGCAGAGCAGCTGGGGGCCACTGGCGCCTTCATATACGTTACGCATCCGGACCGGGCGTGCACAGTACGTACCGAGTGCCCCGCCGCTGTTTGTTGCGGGGGCGGGGCTCGAGGCGGGGTCTCAGATCGGAGCTTCGTCTTCAGACGTTTCAGTCTCGATGCAGTGCAGCCGACGCCGTGACCGTGACCGTGCCTGCATGATTGCATTGCTTGGTACTCCGCATATACGTACACATACATTTACGCACATCCCATTATCCTCCCCCGCGGCGCAAAAAGTGCCTCGCAAAAGTGCCGCTGTCCCTGTCCTTGTCCGCGCCGCCCGACTCGTGCTCCAAGCTAAGTAGACTGCGCCATTACGTCAAATGCCATCTCGTATTCATCCAGCCCGACGTGTTTCCTTGACCATGCTTCAACTCGATATTACAAAAAAGACAATTCAAGTCGTCTCATCCCTGTCATAAATATACACCCACCCACCGGCTGCACTCAATCACGTCATGACGGTAGAAGTATGCCTCTGCGTATAAATTAAGGGGAACCAAAAAAGAAAATAAGAAGAAGGGAAATGAAAATTAGCAGAGTCGGCCGTGCAAGGCAATACGACGCCGTTGGTCGGTTCGGGCGGCAACATGCCTCGTCGCACGTCACGTCCCATCCATCACGTAGCTGCCTTTGCTGGAACTCGCCGTCAGCGGCGTCATCTGCGCCGATGAGCCGCTGTCGCTCGGCGTCACGGGCTCGACAACCTGGCTGCGGACAGCCATGATCCATCCGTGCTGCAGAAGCTCCACGGCTGACGGCCGTTCCTTGGGGTTTCGCGTGAAGCACTGGGACAGAAAGTCAAGCCCTTCCGGGCTGATTTGGTCGGCCGTCGGCATCTGCGGCGGGTTGCCCTGCGCAATGTTGTACATGATGGCCCATTCGTTATCCAGGTTGGCCCATGGCCTTCGTCCAGTGGCCATTTCCAGAACCACACACCCGAGTGACCAAATGTCCACGGAGCCCGCTCGCCCCGGGTTCTCCCCTTTGATGACTTCCGGCGACATGTACATGGGAGTGCCGGTCATGGATTTGTTGGGTTTCGTCGCGTGCAAATCCGCCGCCAGCGTTCGCCCTTGGCGGGCAATCACCTTGGCGGCCCCAAAGTCGACATACTTGATGATGCCATTGTGGTTGAGCAGGATGTCTGTGTGTCAAGATCCAATTGTTAGCGTCACAAGTTGCAAGAGACGGGACCCAGCACCGAGGACACGTACTCTCTGGCTTGATGTCTCGGTGAGCGATGCCACTCTCGTGGAGGTACACCAGCCCCTCCAGAAGCTGCAGGGCGTAAAACGTAATTACTTGTTCGTCCTCGATTCGTCCATGCTCGAGCAGGTTCGCTAGCGACCCGCCAGAGCAGTATTCCATAAAGATGTACACACGATCTCGATGGACTTCGATCCCGTGGTATTGCACGATGTTGGGGTGGTCCAGCACTTCCAAGACACCCATCTCCTCTCTGATTTGTTCGGCAATGGTGGGTATCAGCTTTGGATCCTGCAGTCTGATCTCCTTGACGGCCATCAGCAGACCAGTGTCCAAGTCCATGGCTGCGTACACGTTGCCAAAGGTGCCGCCGCCAACGAAATGCCCCTGCTGCCACCTCTTCGTGACGTTGGTCGCTGACGAGGACAAATAGGCAAGCGATCGATCGGCTTCGTTGTTGGCCTCCAGCACACGGCCCAGTGCCCGCCTCTCTCCTTCCTTCTCACGCCTGAATTCATCCAAGACATCCAGCCGAGTCAACCGCTGCTCTGTGGTGCACCGCGAGGCTTCCTCGTCGTCGAGAATCTTTTTCGATTCCAGCAGCATCGGCTGCTCCCCCGACGCGTCCGCCCCTTCCTTTTCTGCCTGCGCCGCCAGCAGCGTGGATCTGGCACCCATGATATCGAAGTGCGAGATCAAGAGTGACATGCAGCCGCCTACCTTGGTCCTGAGCTTCTCATACTCATCGTCACCAAGTGCGAGAATATGTCGTCCCCTCGTCATGCCCATGGCAAATTCCAGAGCCAGCACGGCCCATCTAAACGTCTTTCGATCTGAAGCAATGCAGTCGTCACATATAAAGCTAACCCAATCAAGAGCAAGCTTGGTGAGCTTCAAGTTGTTCATCTGCCGCCTATTGCTGTCCATGTAGAGCAGTGACCGTTGACCGAACTCAGTAGCAAAGACGAAGCACGTTTGCACCAGTTCCTGGCAGTCCTTTCCTTCGGCCTGTTTGCGGATCACCTCGACGCTGTCCATAAACGTGTTGGACAGCTTGTAGGCCACACGCCGAATCTCCATGAGTCTCGTGTTGACTTTGTGAATATTGGACCTGGACTCCTGGAGTAGATCCACGTGCATATCCACAGCCTCGAGAAATGCTTTTCTGGCTTCTGGCAATGCCCGGGACCCTGCTGCGCACAGTCGGGCTTGTCCCCGTTTGAGATCGATATTCTGCTCTCGCAGAGGCACACTGACCTTTTCTCCAAACCACGGGAAACGGTCTTCTGGTCGCAGGATGAGGAGGTATTGCTCGCCCAGCTCTGGAAATCGGTCCAACGAAGTCACAACCATCATTGCCTGTATGTCATCCAGCTTGCCGTGAAGCTCCGGGGACGCAATGATGTACGTGTCCTGCTTCTCGAACACGCCGGTGTCCAAGAGGAAGTGCCCGGACTTTACCAGCTGATCGTAGAATTTTTGCATCGTCTCTGGCGGGAAGAAAATGCTGAAATCAGAGACATGCTCGTAGTTGTCGCTGAGCGTTCTCCAAAATCTTTGCAGCATTCGTTGGCGGATACGGACAGAATCCAGACAAGCCTTGTATCGCTTGCTCATCTCGGCGGCGCTTTCTCTCGGCTTCACCTGCAGCTCTTTTTCAAACGTCTGACTCAACCTATTCAACGCTTTGAACGTTAGGGAGCTAAACTGCTCGGCCACTTCGACATGGCCGCCCTGCAGGTGGCGTCCGATGTTGTTGGCAAAGTCCCATTCTTGAAACAGCAACTCGGCTTCTTTGAACGAATTCTTGTTGCCGCTCAATTTCCAATTCAGCATCTTGAAATAGTATTTGAGTGCTTCCAACACCACCTGGTCGAATGACTCATCAATACATGGTGGTAGCTCCCAACCGGGTTCAGGGCTTTCGATGGAAAGATACTCCTGCTTGATTCTGATTGCAAACTTGAGGAGCAGTTGGAATTGTGAAATCATCTGATCCTGCATCATTGGATTCTGCTGAGCGGCCTCCTTAACCCTCTTAGCGTATTCGAGACGTGTCTTCGTGATTTCCTCAATGAGCCGAGACGGAAAACTGATGAGGGTCAACAGCTCCTCCAGATATGGCGGCAGGTGGCGTTTTCGGAAGGGCGCAGAGTTGCCAATCAGTGTTGTTTTGGCTTTGCTAATGATGATGGAAATGGGCCAGAGCATACCCTTTTGGGGAGTTTGCTCCCCGTCATCGTAAAGGGATTGCAAGCCATCCTCTTTCATCAGTCGATCGAGGAAAGACGTCTCGTCGTTGGTGATGCCGTCCACAGCAGGTGACCTTTGCTTGGTGCGAGAAAAGTCCAGCTCTTCATTTCCAACCCACTTCTTTAGAATGGACAGTTCCGTGTTGATCATCTTGTTCGTGTTGTACCAGGAAAAGATGGCCTCGTAGGCCTCTTGGAATTGAGGCGAGGCAGCTGCTTTGTGTTCTGTGGCCAAGGCGTGCCACGAAGGATAGAGACTCTCGCACTTCTCGATCTTCTTGACGATATCCTTGACCTGCTCGTACGGTGGTTTCCCGGCCTCGCTTTCGCCCTTGACCTCAAAGTTGATGATGTCGTCCAAGAGTCGATCGACCGATTCGCGAGCTCTCCTGACGGCGGTTCTGTGCACAGAAATCGGTCTGCCAAAGAACTTGGACCCGAGGCCGAGCCAGAGTTCTGACTTGTAGACTTTTTCACTGGCCTGTTGGTCTGAAGAACCAATAAGTCGCTTCTTTTCTTGACGAACAACGTCGCCGGTCAAGACGGCCTCGAGCATGTCGTACCACTCCAGCCGCTCCCTGTTGCTGGCGTCTGTCATGTCCTCCTCGGTCGGTAAAAGATCATCGTTGCCGTAAAACATGATGGTCTCTTGATCCAAGCGGTCTTCAAACGGTCCCTCCGAACCCGGGGTCTCCCCCTCAGATTCAGAGTCATTTCCGTTCATTCCTTGGTAGGATGAAAAGTATTCGCCAGACGCATCATGTCGAAGCTTCTGAACATAGGCTCGTTCCTGCGCTCGGAACCTGCTCTCGCTCTGTCGGGCTCGAGTCTTGGACGACGACCGCATCGACTCGGCGAACGGCTGGGTCTGCTGCGACGGCCGCGGTTTTCGAGATGTGGCCGGATTGTATGTGCTGGATGGAGCCCTGGTCGGGGCGAGCGGTCGCTGTGGCCGGCCACCATTGGGATAGGCAGCACTGTCGTCATTTGCATTGTTCCACTGGGTCTTTGGGGGAGCACCATTGACGGCCGGCTTGGCAGGTTCCGAAGCCAGAGAGCTGGCATGTGTGGGAGTGTCAGCATATAGATCGAGGTCGCCAATCTCGTTGTGCTCCTCTACGGCGTTGGGTTCGTCGCCTGAGTCAGGCGACGAGGTCTCAGCATCAACGTCGGCTGTGGACGGTCGTCGTGGCCTGGGTCTTTCTTGCTGCAGCTCATCCTCACCGCCAGAGAAGCGTACGGCCCGAGGAGACGGGTCCGACATGATGGCGACCTCGAGTGCCTCAGGAGCAGGGCTTCAGGAGGAGCCCCTCGGGCTCAAACAGAACACCCTGCTCAACACCTGACAGGAGGGGCTCGAACCCGATGGCCAACAGTCAATCAGGTAGGGCGGTGAAAACGCAGCATAGGAGTCGCTGTTGATTTGACCGGCCGCAATTCGTGTACGTGGGGTGGTTGCGTTTGGTGATATTGCGAGAGCTGTTGTTGGGTGGCTTGTTATTTTTCGTGCCCCCTATGCCTTGCTTAAGCTTGTCGTCCGAACGCATCGCGATGGAACCACGACACAACCATGGCAAGGTTTGAGGACGATGATGGCACCTGCAAGTCTGCTCGCATGCTGATTGGCTGGTGGGAGGGCCAGGGTGTGGCGCACGGGCAGTGAGTGTGGCTGATGGACAGTCAATCTTCCCCCCTTCAAGTCCCTAAACTGGCCAAGTTTTCGTGCCAACTTACATGATTGCTCCGTCATCGACCATGCACAAATTGTACGGACCACGTAGCATGGATGCTATCTGAAATTATTTGACATTACGGAGAGAGCTCCCAAAGCGGGAAAAAGCCTTCCGGCAGGACTTCACTGGTCGGCGAAAGCGCAGGAGACGAGGGCAATCAAAATGACACCGCCCCTGATTTGCCTGTACGATTGCCAGCTAACTCTCGGCGAGTTGTTCTTGTCTAGGAAAATGCAGATCCTCTGTCAATGACACTGCGTTCGTTCAATAATATTTCGTCCTTGGGTAGACAGCCAGCCCTTGCAGACCCATGCAGACTCCAGCTTCAGCTTAAGCATCATGCATTGCCGACACACAAATGCAAACCTCCGAGGTTGGAGCATCCATCAGAGAAGAACTGCATCCTCGGCCCGCAGTGGAGCGCGGCAAGATACATAAACTCGGGGCGCACGCTTTGACTTTCCGGAGCTACAGCTATTTATTGCACAACCAGACAGCCACAGAGGCAATGTCATGTACAACACAACATATACGGTATGTTCATCAGATTGCCCTCTCGTTATGCCTTCTCGCCAGAACCGGGGGTTCCGAACGTATACTATCGAGAGAGGCGCAGACTGTGCATGTACTACCCCGTACGACGCTCAACTCTAGAGTAAGTTAGTAGTAAATACGTGGCTATTATGGATGCTGCTACTCTTTACTGCCGCCCCTGATGGTCTGGTGCCAGGCGCCAACTTTGATTCGAGACCACGAGCCCTTGTGCTCCCGGAAACATCAAGCCGCCCAGGTGTCACGAAGCGAGATTGACATGGCGTTGCGCAGAGCGCGGTCGGCTAATGTTGAGTAATCCATGAGGGAGTCTCGTGGCACATCCCTGCCCCCCGTTTGCATTCATCAGATGACATGCGGGTCGCCAGTTGAGTGTCTTGGCTGTATGAAATGAAAATTCCCGCAATAATAGTACCACCAAACTTTCCAAACGGCAGATGTCTGCAGGACGTCGGTAAGCTACTGGAAGGGTGATGGAAGCAAGATTGCAAGACCCGTGTTTATAGTAGTATTCGCAATTCCAATGTCATCACTCATTCTTCACTAGTATTGCGTCGGCTTGGATGAAAGTGCCAGATCCCCGTATCGACTGCGCCAGTGCTCTCAGCTGCAAGTGTCTCATCACACTGCTACACTGACGATTTATGCCAGACCATACTGTAAAACCTCTGTATCAAGGATTCTAAATGCTGACGCATCGTTCTGGAAATCCTCGGACTCTGAAGCGCTGCAAAAGTATGTAGTGGCGAGCCGATACGATATGTTCCTCTTGCAGGTAGTCCAAACGAGGTGGGTGTTGATAACCATCGATTACCAGGAGTATCCGTGACCGCGCTCTCTCAACTCAAATTTCTTGATATTGACCGAGTAAAGATGACAGCGATCCGAGTACAAGGTAAAAATCGGCGCAGATCAAGTCATGATTATCGGGCCAAATTGAGGACCTTTCGGACGGCCTATGGATTGGGTCGAGGCTGAGCCGAGCCACGTAGGTTTATCTTCTCGAAGAATATAACGCAAAACGACCCCCGCGGATCGTTTGTACGGAGCTGCCCATCACTCATCACACATAAACCGGACTGACGCAGCAGTCAAGCAGTTTCTGTGACACGGCGACCCGAATAAGAAACGATTTTCGTGAAAGGCCTCATAGTGTAAGCACGTCGCGCGATCGAGAAGCATTACATGGAATCATCCGCGGTGGTGGGCCACAACATTTCCAAGTATCATCGCAACGTTCTCGTAGAGTCTAGGTTCTCCAGTGTTGAGGGGAAGGTAGTGATTGCGAATTTCAATTACTTTTGAGGTCCACTCTGTAACGATTGTGACAAGCAAGCTTTGACCACAGTTTCCAGCCTGGAAGGGCGTCAAAAATGTTGGTGACACCAACAAGTGCCTTGAGCGAAGAGGGCCTCTGTAATGTTATCGTAATGGGAAGTCGAGCTATAGAAAGGTCTGTTCCCTGACACGAAAAGCTTTCTTCAAGGAAGTATGACCACTGACAGGTGGAGTTTGTACATATATGTGGTCCACGGAGTGATCCGTAGTACTTAGTGGTTGGACGCAAGGAGAAACTGAGTCCGTCATCATATGGAAGTACAAAGGCTTTTGTCTGGACCAGCATTGGCCCACGACTGACAGGTATAGAAAAGAAAGGATGAAACCCTGTCGATGCAGCCGCCATCGTCACAATCCCCTGCGGCGCCCAAGTATTTGGATCCCAAGAGTTTGGCGCAGAGTCCGTGTTGGCAACGCAGGCTGATCTCGAGGAGTGCGCTTGGACCTATTTGATGCCCTGGAAAACATGGGTGGGATCGATGGGCGTCGGGTGTAATTTATTCCTTCCTCATAACTCAAAGAAAGTCCCGAGTGTTGAAACACGAAGTTGATGGTTATTTACTGATATCGCCGACCAGAAGCTCAGGACCCTTGTGGCGGGTTTTGGGAAACTGGTCCAAGTGTGTGCAGGTTTGCCGAGGCAGTGCCCTCGAGTGCTACTGGCAAGTATGGAACATGATGGAGAAGTTGTTCCTGGTGAAGCGCAAAAGAGTTCCCGCCACTCCATAATTGGTCTCGAGCATCGTCATCGCCTTTCGGAGCAATGTTGCAGGTGCTTGAGGAGCTATGACACTCACAGCCTGTATGTTTCTTGGCACATTGCTTGCTTTTTGCTTCGAGGCCGGGGTAATAGTCCGTACGACATACTCCGTACAACTTCAAGTCTCGGGTGTGGGGTAGTGCTTGAAGATGATTGGGATGGCAGGTCAGCACATGTGGCGTAAGGAGAGGTGCATTAGCTTGCCCACCAGGCCGGTTTATCCTCCAAGGAATCTAATGTGCGTACATGCCGAGGTGGCCATGGTATTACATTATAAGGAGGTCCCTTAATTGGTCTTGTTCGCGATTGGCGAAGCGTCTTGTAGCCACGACATTGGTAGGTCTTGGAAATGTGCCGCCGCATTTTCTTTTTCGAGAGCGCCACGAAGTTGGCAAAACCGGGCCGAATTTGGTTCCGGTCTCGGACCGCCCGGTTTCGATTTCGGTGATTGAAATGTGCTATCAATGCTGAAACAAGGGTCGGCAGGCCTCGATAGCCGTCAACGGCATGACCGAGTCTTTTGTTGCGATGGTAGTGTTTCGGTCGAGGGCTACCGTGCGCGGCTGTTCGACATCACTAGTCGAAGTTGAAGCAGATGCCACCTGCATCTGTACCTGCAAGGATTACTAAGTGCCTCTTTTGCCCCGCTATTGTGAGAACCCATTACTCCGGGCTCAGCTCGAACAAGGAGCACGGACGGCTTTCGACTGACTAGACTCTCTCTCGCGACTCAATTTCTTTTTTTTTTTTTTTTCCCCCCCCCAGGCCCCGATCGATGTCGGTTTCCATCAGCTGCTGGAAAGATGAAACAATATGTACAAATCAACGAATTTACAGTCTCAAGTTATAATCCAAGTCATGGCTTGTTACGACATGGACTTACTCCTCCTTCGGTGTGTCAGAAAATACGGACTCCCTCGCTGCCCCTCTTCTGTGTCAGCAAATTAAACGAGCTCAGCAGTCAAAGAGGAGGTGGTTGAAAGTTTGCAGAAAGTGCTTTTCTACCCGCAAGAAGCAATCATACATGCAGCAGCAGCGCTCCTTGTCACAGCCGCGTCGGGAATCCCACCTCGGACCGACATTATTGTGATGCCCGGCCTCGGCGTGTTCGAGTCGAGTCCAGGTCTCGATCGTGATGAGGCTGGTTGCGGCCACGTCTCTTTATTACTCTCTTTATTACCGGGGCATGAGGGTATGATGCGGCGTGTATATACTACACAATCGCAATTGCTTCATCCTTGCATGCACTTGACGTCGACCCATATCGTCAACCATATGGAGAATGGCTCTCTAGGTCCATCCTCGCCCGGTTACGAGTTGCATGGCAATCTCTATCACTCCGTATACCGAGTACAATAGTACGGGATGCTAGGTCAAGCTTTGTTTTTCCCTAGATTTCTGCAAGGGGAAATTTTGCGTTTCGGAGCAACGAGGAACGTATAGCGGCTCGCACATGTTGGGTATGGCGGTAACGTTACTCAGGATGTGGCAGGGCAATGCCAATGCCAATGGCAATGTCAGTTAAATGGTCTATGTGGCACTACAACAATTTTCGATATGAGAACTCGGTACGTCCTTGTTTAGGGATTGTCGTACCGTCGTTGAGCCTCGCCGCTTTACCTGCAGAATGTCTATATTAGCTGCAGATCTGAAGTTTGGTACAAGGGCGTGCCGCTGAGCTCCAGACCACCCTCGTCAATGCTCTACGAATAGTAATCACTGCGAGCTGGAACGTGGCAGAATGATGAAGCTTTTGGGAGCTTGTCTGGTTCGATGCGTCCACACACGCCCACACGCCCACCCAAGGGCCATGATTGCCGCCGACTACCACCACCGCGCACTCGAAGTGGCATTCATCAATACAGAGGAGAGGTTTCGGTA